TTAATAAATAAAAATTATTAAATAAACTATGAACTATAAATCTATTTTATTCATTGATTTTCTTATGTGAATAAATCTACAAATCGACTGAATTAAGAATGAATGAATAAATAGATAAATAAATAAATAATGAAATTAATAATAAAAGTTATTCATTTATTTGTTTATTTTTTAATTTATCACTCATTTATATCCCCAAAATTTGTTTTATTTTATTTATTTCCTGAAATAAGATACAAAGTATTGTATTAGCATATTTAAACGATTTTTTATTACTTTAAGTCCATGATGGATATCAAAATAATCGTCTCATTATGCACAATATTAATCTGTCAATAACATTTTTGATACATTAATTTGATTTAAAAGTCGGTTTTCAAAACCCAAACACGATTCTGAAACAACATCAAAGCCATTGATGTTTACCAGTAATTAACTCGGGGTACACGGTCATGACACCAATTATCTTATTCCCTGACCGCTATACCCTGTTTATGTTGTGGCAGGACGACCGTGTGTAGTTTGCAGCTGTTTGAAATAACATTTTCTCTTTATATGAGAACTGATTTTTTGAATCAAAACAAAATAAAAGTATCAAACAAATGGGTAACGATTGTGCATAATGAGACGATTATTTTGATATCCATCATGGAAGTAAAATAATTAAAAGCAGATTTAATATGCTTCAAAAATACTTTGATGCATATTTTATCGTAAATCAGTTTAAATAGAATATTTCAAACAAATCCCATTTTCTGGTAAATGATTATTTACTTTGCTTGTATCGTCGATTTTGAAAATAAAAACATTGTTTTTATAATGATTAAATGCATGCAGTTAATTAGTTTATTTATTTGTTATTTACTAACTATTTAAAATCAATTATTGTATTGATTTTAAAAACTAAAATATTCCAAAATGCGCCAGTACCCCTGCTGTCTTTTCTTCTTTTTTTCTTACAAAAGGTAGAAAGTCACTCCATTATTAAATGAATAAAACATGAATAAAATAAAACTAAAGAAACACAATTTCTTGCGGATATAAATGATTGAATAATTTCTTGTATTTTCAATTTCAAAAATAAATAAATAAATTGATATTTTATTTATAATTATTTCATTATTTCTTTTTTTTCATTATATTTATTTACTATGTATGTATTTCGCTGCAATCTGTTTTATTCATGAAGTACTGGTTTGACTTTGTACCATTTGTAAGAAAAAACGTCAGCAGTGGGTATTGGTGCTCTTTAGAATATTTTATTGTTTAAAACCAATACATTAATTGATTTTAAATCGTTAGTAAATAAAAAATATAAACTTATTAACTGCATGTATTTAATCATTATAAAAACAATGTTTTTATTTTTAAAATTGACGATACAAGCAAACTAAATAATTATATACCCGAAAATGGAATTTGTTTGGCATATTCTATGTAAAAGGATTTACGATAAATATGCATCAAAGTATTTTTGAAGCATATTAAAACTGCTTTTAATTATTTTACTTTCATGATGGATATCAAAATAATCGTCTCATTATGCACAATCTTTACCCGTCAATAGCTTCTTTGATACTTTTATTTTGTTTTGATTGAAAAAAAAATAAAATAAGTTCTCATACAAACAGAAAATGTTATTTCAAACAGTTGCTAACTGTACACGGTCACTCTAAACACCACATAAACAAGGTATAGCGGTCAGCGAGAAAGACAATAGGTGTCATGACTGTGTTCCCCGAGTTAATTACTAGTAAACATCAATGGCTTTGATGTTGTTTCAGAACTGTTTTAGGGTTTTAAAAACCGATTTTTAATCAAAACAAAGTATCAAAAATCTAATTTACAGATTAATATTGTGCATAATGAGACGATTATTTTGATATCCATCATGTACTTAAAATAAAAAAAAGTTGTTTTAATATGCTTATAAAACACATTGTAGCACATCTACTGATGCAAGTGTTTATTTAAAACAAAACTAAATAAACTCAATTTCTTGCAGATATAAATGATTCATTAATTTGCTGTATTTTCAATTTCAAAAATAAATAGACTGATATTTTATTAATATTTTTTTTTCATTATTCATTTATTTTATTTTATTTATTTACTATGAATCTATTTCGCTTCAATCTGTTTTATTCGTTGAATACTGGTTTGACTTTGTACCATTTGTTCAAAAGAGATAGAGAGAGAGAGAGAGAGAGAGAGAAAGAAGAAAGAGAGAGAGACAACAAGGGATATTAGTGCATTTTGGAATAATTAAGTTTTTAAAATCAATATAATAATTGATTTTAAATAGTTAGTAAACAACAGCAACAAAAAAAAATAAACTTATTAACTGCATGTATTTATTTATTATAAAAAGAATATTTTTTATTTTTAAAATTGACAATACAAATTAAATAATCAAATACCCGAAAACGGGATTTTTTTGGCTTATTTTATGTAAAACTATTTACGAAAAAATATGTGTCAAAGTATTTTTGAAGCATATTAAATCTGCTTTTAATTATTTTATTTCCATGATGGATATCAAAATAATCGTCTCATTAGGCACAATCTTAACCCGTCAATAGCTTCTTTGATACTTTTATTTTGTTTTGATTGAAAAAAAATTTAAGTTCTCAAAAAAAAAAGAGAAAATGTTACTGCAAACTACACACGGTCGTCCTGCCACAACATAAACAAGGTATAGCGGTCAGTGAAAAAGATAATAGGTGTCATGACTGTGTACCCCGAGTTAATAACTGGTAAACATAAATGGCTTTGATGTTCTTTCAGAACCGTGTTAGGGTTTTGAAAACCGATTTTTAAATCAAAACAAAGTATCAAAAATCTAATTGACAGATTAATATTGTGCATAATGAGACGATTATTTTGATATCCATCATGTACTTAAAATAATAAAAAGTCGTTTTAATATGCTAATAAAATACTTTGTAGCACATATACGGATGCAAGTGTTTATTTAAAACAAAACTAAATAAACTCAATTTCTTTCAGATATAGATGATTCATTAATTTGTTGTATTTTCAATTTCAAAAATAAATAGATTGCTATTTTATTAATATTTTTTTCATTATTCATTTATTTTATTTTACTTATTTACTATAAATTATTTTGCTTCAATCTGTTTTATTCGTTAAATACTGGTTTGACTTTGTTCCATTTGTAAAAAAAAAATATATATAAAAATAAAAAAAAAGAGAGAGACAGCAGGGGGTATTGGTGTATTTTCGAGTAATTGAGTTTTTAAAATCAATGTAAAATTGATTTTAAATAGTTAGTAAACAAAAAAAAAAAAAGAAAAAGAAAAAGAAAAATAAACTTATTAACTGCGTGTATTTATGTAATATAAAAACAATCTTTTTTATTTTTAAAATTGACGATACAAACAAATTAAGTAATCTAATACCCGAAAATGGGATTTTTTGGCTTATTTTATGTAAAACTATTTATAATTACGAAAAAAATATGTGTCAAAGTATTTTTGAAGCATATTAAATCTGCTTTTAATTATTTAACTTCCATGATGGATATCAAAATAATCGTCTCATTATGCACATTCTTTACCCGTCAATAGCTTCTTTCATACTTTTATTTTGTTTTGATTAAAAAAAAAATTAAGTTCTCATACAAAGAGAAAATATGTTATTTCAAACAGCTGCAAACTACACACGGTCGTCCTGCCACAACATAAACAAGGGATAGCGGTCAGTGAAAAACATAATAGGTGTCATGACTGTGTACCCCGAGTTAATTACTGGTAAACATCAATGGCTTTGATGTTCTTTTAGAACTGTTTTAGGGTTTTAAAAACCGATTTTTAAATCAACACAAAGTATCAAAAATCTAATTGACAGATTAATATTGTGCATAATGAGACGATTATTTTGATATCCATCATGGACTTAAAGTAATAGAAAGTCGTTTAAATATGCTAATAAGATACTTTGTAGCATATTTCAGCAAATAAATAAAACAAAACTAATAAATCAAATTTTTGGGATATAAATGAGTGATAAATAAAAAAAAAAGAGAAATAAATGAATAAATTTATATAATTCTCATTATTTATTTATTTATTTATTTATTCACTCATTCTTAATTCAGTCGATTTGAAGATTTATTTTCAAAAGAAAATAAATGAATAAAATAGATTTTTATTTTATTTAATAATTTTTATTTATTAAATAGACATTTATTTTATTAATGCATTTATATATCATTCCTTTCAATTAATTTTTTATCATGTAATTCTTTTGGAAAACAAAATATCCCATGCATGGATTTGATAATGTATTCCCAAATGTTTAAATCTAGTTCTTTTACAAAGACAGTTATTACCTTAAAGATGTTTCAAAGTAGATCAAATAAAAAAGTGTATAAATATATATAAAAGGTTCAAAAGTTCAATGTATATGCCGTCTAGCAACACAAGATGAAATAAATTGGTAATTTATTTCTTCTTTAGAATCGATGCAATTCTCTGCCGTTCTCTCCCCGAAATGCTACCAAACTAAAAAAATCACATTGATACAAGTAATAGAAACTAAATTACAGGGGATTAAGTTAAGGCATTTAAAAATGTGTTAACTTTTTACTAAGTCTATATTTTCAAAAAAATACTTAAAGTTTTCAAGACTATATCATTTTCCACTCTTAAATGCAACAAAAATATTTTTTAAACTTCTTTTCTTGGCCAAAATAAATGTCAGGGGACGACAGGGAGTAGACAGGGAAGGCAGGGACAACGACAGGGGACGACAGGGACTGGACAGGGAGATCAGAGAATGTCAGGGGACGACAGGGAGTAGACAGGGAAGGCAGGGACAACGACAGGGGACGACAGGGACTGGACAGGGAGAGCAGGGACAACGACAGGGGATCATAGGAGAAAGTCAGGGAGAGACAGGAAAATGTCAGGGACTAACAGGGGGACAACAGGGGATTTTTTGGAATCTAAGGGGATATTTAATTCAGTAGTGATACCTGAGTAACAGCACCAGTTGGTCAGAGACTTGAAGTTTGTATCACAGGTTTCTTTGTATCAATGAAATGTTTTATCCAATCACAGGTAGACTTTCATGATTGCAATGCTTTTCTCGACCAATCAGAATATCTCATTGTTCCACACGGAATACAAGATCCTGTGAGTTGTTTGTAGTCAAACAGAGGAAGTGAGGTATTTTTAGAACTCCTGACTGTGAGTTCAGGGTCCGTTATAGGAATACTGCTGCATGTTATGATGCAGGTTATGATGACTCTGTGAAACGGACGAAATGTCTGTGTAAAAGTCTATACTCTGGCTATTTTTAGATAGCATCTCACGACTTGACACTATAAGATGAGGGCTAGGCACACCCGCATATAAGTTTTTGTGTTGTGGTCCATGTATGGGGTTCACATGAATGTTTGTTTTGACATCGTTTGTGTGTGGGACCCCCAGATAAGGCTCAGGGTCCTGCGTGGGAACTCTGTTGAAATGAGGTCCGTTCACAACTGACCCCTGGTGGTACTGCGCCCGTCGTCTGCGCTGGAAGAAGAGGAACGCAATGAATATAACGACGAGAAGGATTCCACCCGGTACACCCACAACCAGAGGAATATTCAGATTACTGCGGTCGATCGTGTAGGCATACTGGTTCTGAGGGTGATCTAAAAATAGAATAAAGGACCGTGTCAACAAATATGTTAAATATGAAAATTGCTCAGGATTTTAATGCTGAAGTCAGCTGGAGTTTTTTATTAAGTAGACCTCAGAAGCTTCATACTTTACTAGAATGAACATTAAGGTTTGTACTTTTTATACTAGATTTGTACTTACTAGATTGAACAATAAGATGTGCACTGCGCCAACTGAAGCTCATGGTGTTGGCTGCCAGACATATGTACATTCCTCCATCGGCTTCCGTCACGTGATGAATCACAAATTTATTGAGGTACGTGCCATCGGATCCACTCCCGATTTCACTTGTTTTCAGGATGATGAAGGGTTGACCCTTTAACTTTATAGAGTTGTTGGACATGAATTTAGGGTCGTCAACTTTCTTCAGCCACTGGTAATTAATATGTTAGAGAAAATAAAAAAATAAAAGACGAAAAAAATTTATAAATATAATTATCCGGTCAGAGGTATTAATTAACATTGATGTAGTAAGGTCACTTTACTGAAATTTATCAAAATATTGAATGCGTTTGGTTATAATTTAATGTGATTTAATTGTTTACGTGACCATGTGGTTGTTTTGTGTTTTGTCCAGTTTGGTAGTGTCTACCCAGACCTTGGTCCTGATAGCAATGAACATTTAAAGTAAATATAAAGTTTATCTAGAGTTTAAGATTAGAATAAGTTAATAATTTTTGATATCTTTAAAGTCTCATTAGTGTTAAATAATCTGAATGTTAAAAAATTACTTATAAATGTGTAGGAAGCACTTAAAACTGTTCAATATTAATTATTTTGATAGCAACAGGTGCTGGTTTTCAGATTGATGTAATTTACATGTAACTCTGATTCAGTGCACTTGAAGGGCTCCAGATACATTGTCTTTGGTAAGAACATGTATTATATATGTTAAATATTCTTATTATTTAGAATTTGTTAATGAAGGTATGGTTATAAAGTATGTCTGACAAATATTTTTGATCTATAAAGCTTAATCTCGAAATCTATTTTTACTTCAATTTTTAAGTTTTATATTTAAAGTCCTATAAATCTGTTCAGCTGAAATAAATAATAGTAGTCCTTTATTCAGAGTGCATTACTGTAAAAAATTATCATGAATGAAAGCATAATGCTGCATATTATGTCATAGCATTATATTTCAAGTGATGTATGTTTGTTTGTGTTTGTATATAATACTTTGCTTAACAGATGTACATGTATTTAAATTTATATTTTCATTTTAAGGGCTCAATCAATTAAGATGTAATAAACAAGTAAACCCTCACGGTGTGTTTATTCTCATTAGACCTCTATTGTCCTCTAACACTTGGCGTTTTTATGAAATCTCCTTTTGAAATTAAAATTATTTTCAATTCCTTTTTTTTAATTCTAAAATTTTAATTTATTTTCAAATTAGTTGACTTAAATTAATTTTAAACAAAAAAGACAATTGACAGTTCTTAATTTCTGATAACTTTTTGTATTAATCAATTTTGATACGATTTACACTACTCAATTGTAGTTATTTTAGTACAGATATAGCATAAAGTCCTGCTGACATTTAGTTTGTCTGTCCGTCGTTATGTAAGACTATTCATCATTTTTGCTTGTGTGTTTATCAGTTGGTTTAGTTCAGATGCACTTACAGTACCTGCCCCATTTCATTCCTATGAATCTAAAAAAGATTCACATCTTTTTTAAGACAAACTTATAAATTATTCAATTCGTCGAAAGTTGTTTATGGATAGTGGTAAAAGTTTTATTGAGAAAAAAAATAATCCTTCAATCTTGAATATATTATTATTTTACATATATATTATACTATTGCTGTATCTTCTATTTTTTAGATCATAAACGAAACATGAGGTCACATTTCTTTTCTTTAAATTATTGAGGTTCTGAATCAAATTTTAATGAAAAATAAAATTTATTTCCAAGAGTATTTTAAATAAACATCGTATGATTTATTTTTAAAATCCATAAGTATAGATTTAAGTCTCTACCGTTCTTCTGATGAATAACAATTCAAACTCAAAATGCAAAGCATAAAATGCCAACGTATCTAAGAACATTAATATTTGAATTATTCAAAGTAATGACAAGAATCGGATTTCTTGCAGTTGGTTGGTTGATTGATTTAAAAAACGGTGCGTTCGATTCATTTTGCAAGTTTCTTTCACAAACGAAGTACATGTATTCCTTGAAACTCTTGGAACATTAAAAATGCGGTGGCTATCAATCTATCTCTTCCGTTGCCAACTTCTTCTTTACTCTGGTAAGTTAATTTAGATTTGTATTTCCTCTTAAAAATATATCGTGTACAAAGGAAAAGAAAATGTGGATTGTTAAAAAAAAAGTAATGATGAAATAGGAATCAAACATTATAAAAATCAAATTCAAGGAAGTGGGTAAAAAAAATATATGGATATTTTTTTACCTAACGTTTAGAATGTATTTGATTATCATATATATCCATGTAATGTGATTATTGTTTCATAATAATGTAAACTTGAATATGAATATTATTTCTCATTCTTGAAAAGTTAAAGTGTGCTGCAATGAAATATAATATAAAATGATCATGATTTTTGAAAATGTTGATTTGTTGAGTTTTCAGCATTTTAATCCATGTTTTTTTTTTTTATTTTAATTGAATAATAAACAAATTAGAACAATAATTTTCGATTTATTAGCATTTGTTAAATATAAATTTAACTTAGATTGAGTGATACTTTCAATTTCTTTTTTTTTTTTTTTTTGCTACGGGTTTTATTTTCGGCACAGTTTCTACGTGTTTGCTTATGGTGGTACACTGGTATTTTGGTTCTCTAATTTGCTGTAAGTGTTAGAGAACCGAAAATACCAGTGTACCGCCTTAAGCGTATAAACATTAGAAAATGTGCCAAAAATAAACCCCCCAATTTTACTTTTTTTTCTTTCTGCAAATTCCGAATGAATACTACAGAAAAAGAACGTGAACATGAAGAAAACTAGATGCTGTCATGAGACAGTAATACCCGCACTAAGGTGTTTGCCTCTAAATGCACACTCCTCTAAAATTAGGCTTTACCAAAGAAAAAGTCAATATAATTTAATAATTTACATAATAGGGCCTCCATGTATTCATCAAATTGAGCATAATATTCTCAAGTGAACATGTGACCCGTCACCATGGGCCTCGATCTTATAGGTACATGTATTTCATATTCATAATTCATTACCAGTCTGAAATTAAACAACAGAATTCAATTAATGATGTGAATTAGGTTTGAAACAAGGGGGGGGG